AAAAAAAAAAAAGCAAACAAACAAACAAACAAACAAAATCTCTTTTCTTTCGAGGCCTATTTGGCTCACCGGCCGTTTTTCATCATGTTTTCTCCATTTTTGTATCTAGTTTTTTAACGACATTAGTTAGATATATCCATTATCTCATCATCACCTGAAATCCTTTTCAGTTTATTTATTTATCTACTAAATTTATTTATTTCTGACCACTCCGTTTGCTCAAGTACGCCTCCTTCCTCAATTGTTCAGTCTTCCCGAATATGAATACCATTCATTGCTCCTCCTCCTAATCAGTCTAAGTAGGAACTTATCATTATCTAATTTTTCTAAGTTTTGCTTCTCTCCTCCTTCCCTCGCCCCTCACGTTAACTGCCAAGTTTTGATGCTTCCATTGAAAAAACAAGGTTATGTATGTATATAAGGAGGGCCTTCTTCCGCTTGGAAGGTGGAAATTTTTTACTAAAAATGACCAACAATCCACCCGCTGAACATGGGAAAAAGGAGAGAATTTTGCAAAGGGGAAAAAAGAAACAAGCTATCTCTTAATAGTTAATTAAACTAAAAAATAACAAGGCCAAAATTAAGAAGCAAAAGCTGAAAAGAAAAGAAACAAAAAAAAAAAAAAAAAAAAAAAAAAAAAAAAAAGCTTGGGAAAAACGCCGAACGGCGAACGGGAGGATGGGTTAAAGGAAATTGAAAAAAAGGTCGTTAGGAAAATTGTCAACATGAGAGAATAGTTGGGAGAAGCATGGATGTACACGGGGCCCGGATAGGACAGAGAGGGACAGGAAGGAGGATAGGAAAAGTAGATGTGATGAAGCCCAGATGGACAGGATTATATGAAATGAATGCGCTGGGATGGATGGGTGATGATGACGGGATTGAATATACAGTTTTATCGACAAAGGGGGTTTTGGAAGGCGGGTAAGTAGGGATTTCCTCAACAATGTGCCGTCAAAAGGTTCATGCGCACTGATTGATTGATTGATTGATGTTTTGTCGCCCAGTTTGGTACTGTGCATGTACGCAAGTACATCGAAGGTCCGGATATATACTGGTATCCCTAACCGCCCCGAGCATACCTATCATAATAACCATTCCGTAATTTGGAATCGCACAGAAGAAAAAAAAGAGGTCGTCTTATCGACTCCCACGTGTCCTCGCCAGGCGGCGTCGTTGTATTTTTGGTTCCTCGAAGCCCGTATTAAACAAAGATGATGGACCTCAATTATCGTAATGTTCTTTTTCCTCGTTGGGCAGATGAACGAGGGTGAATCATCCATCAAAAAATTCTACGCTCATCACCCATTCCTATCCCAGCACGCAACCTCCATCCGCAATCACTTCATAACCCCTCACAGCCTTTTCCCCATCAATCCGCAAAACCTCAAACCCCCGAAGACCCCGGCGCATTTTCATCTTTCCTCAACTCAAGCAGCAGCTCGCGAAACCTCTCCTTGCCGGAACCACTCGCACCCCCCTTGGGTCCCTTCCCACTAACATCCACTAACTTGGCAATCCGCTCCCAACTGCTTCCGCCCGCAGCCGTATCTTCGCGGTTCTCCAGAAACTCCTCTGCCTCCTTGCGCGTGCGCTCCTTTGCGCGGTCTGTCCGCTTATTGTATGATTCGTAGTAGTCGTCGATGTCCTGTTGGGCCTTGGTAATTGTAGCCGCTTTGCGCTCGGCGGAGACAGCGGCGCGGCGACTGAGCTCTTCATCGCGTTTTAGGCGCCATTCGCTGAGCGGGCGGAGGGGCGGGTTAGATGATGATGATGATGATGTTGTTGGAGGGGAAGTAGGAGAAAGGAGGAGGACTTACCGGACCGCTTCTGGCTCTTCTTCTGGTTGCTTATATGTGGAGTATGAAGATTGGAAGGGGCTTGTGCCTGTGATGCTTCCGCCTGGTAAAGCTTGCTGTATATAAAAAAAATAAGATTAGGACATCGTTAATAACTCTCCTGCGTTTGCTATTTGAGCATCGGGATACTACGGATACTACGTACCTCATTCTGTGATTCAAGGGCGGGAAACGACGATTCAAAACCCGTCATATCCCCGCCCTCAAGATTACCCGGCTGATACTCGTGTGTTCCCCCGCCGCCTAACAGATCATCTCCTGCAGCGTCTTCTACCGTGACAGATGCCTGCAGTTGGTCATTTGGAGTAGCGAACTGATCTGCGTCATCGCCCAGGAGAGCACGTTCGCGGGTTAGGAAGTCCTCGCCATCAGCAGCTGCTCCTCCTGGACTACCGTGGGTGACTACGGGCTCTGTCTGACCTAATTTTAATTTCAGTATCGCAAGTCAGATGGGTTTTGGAAGAGTAGATAGAGGATAAAAGCCTTGGTTGGATATTCGTACCAGCGGAGAATTCGTCGAGAGATGGGAACCGATCTGCCATGATGGAGGAGGGAAGCTAGGAGAAAGGAGATGGGCAGCCAATTGAGGAGCAGATGCTGTAGGATAAAACCGATCTTGAGGAGATAATCGCCGGTATTGGTCGGTCAGCTGGGACAAACAGATGGGAGATGGGGCGTGGCAGATGGGGAAAACGAACAGAGACGAATATGGAATTTGATGGAGGTTGCAACCGTCGGAGGGATTCTGCCAGCGCCTAATGGCGAAGGCGGTGAGCGATGACCCAGCAACCTCTTTCCCAGCATCTTTGAAACTATCCAAGTTAACTTCCTCCGTGAAACTTGATAATTAAGGTCAATTATGATAGTATCTGGCCACCGTCTCTTAAATTCCGCTGTATGTAGCTGAACTCACTTCACCCTGTGACCCCATCCTCCGATCTCCATACAAAATACAAACAAAGCTCCATCCCGATTCTTTGCTTTGTTTTGAGGCATAGTCCGACACCATCACCAAGCTCAAGCTGGAAACTCTCTCGTACAATGTCATATACCGATGAAGCCGTCAAGGCTAAGCTGTCTGCTCTTAATGAAACCCAGGAATCCATTGTCACAGTTGCCCAATGGGTTATGTTTCACAGGTTGGCTCATCCCCTCTGTCTATCTATAAAGGCCTAGGTCTCTCCTGTGCAAAAGCAATGCTGATAGC